CCGCGCAAGGCGCTGTTACGAAAGCCGCTCAGGGAAAGGCAGCGCAGAAGTCGCTAGGGCTCCTGGGGCAGGGAAGCTACGTTGAGGCCAGAACCCGGCCCCCCCACGGCCCGTCAGCTCACCAGGGCAGCTGTCTGCAAGCAAACCCCGTGTGCCGCTAGCTAACTGCCCGGCTGCACGTGCCCGCAGACCAGGCCCCATGGCCCTGGTCAGCCGGGAGCAAGGACGCAAGGGTTTGGAGGTCGCGGAGGCCTAGCTCTCCCTGCCCGACAGGGCCAGTGCAGAAGCTCTGCTCCAGGGGTCAGCAAAGATGGTTTCCAGTGGCACGCGCAATGAACAGCCTCCCCACAACGGGGCGCCCGTGCTGGCAATTCAGCATCACGCCCCCTGCAAGCTTGGAACCAGCTCCGGCTTCCTGCCAGCGGGGCGAGGCTCTGGTCCAGACGTGGCTTGCAGAGAAGCATGCGCTCTGCTCCTCCCCACAGCAGCATGTCCGCTGCCTTAGCCACCCTCCCTCCCCCCATACTCCGGGGAGGCCTCCTGCCTGAGAGCCCAGGGCTGGGGCCCAAGCAGGATGCTCAGTGGGGAGAGCCCCGGGCAGGTGGGTACGCTGGGGCACGCTGCTCTAATCTGGTTGCATGGCCGGGTGGCCGTTGTTAGAATAGAAGGGCTCTACCTGGAACGAGCTCTAGGCTGAGGAATTATCTGTAAGCCGGCCCTAGCTCAGTTTCCCTGCCCTGTGTTTTCTTTGTGAGCTGCTTTGTCTCCTTGGCTGCTTCTTTGACCACTTAAAATAAACTTAAAGCTCTAAACGTGTTTAGAGGCTTTTTGGCCACATCAGGCTCCCGCCCACTGATGCCATCTTTAATGGCCACACTGGACGGCTCCCCTGCCCAGGGCAGGGCAGGGAGCCAGGAGGGGAGGGCTGTTTTTGGAGCACGGGCGTGGCTTGGAGTCACGGTGGGGGAGAGCCTCATGCATCTCATGAGCTGTGGCTTGGCCATGGCTGTGCGAGACCTTTTTAGCCTGGGTGCAGCCCTTCACTCCCCGCTCCAGTCCTGGCTCTTTTCCTGAGTGGTTTTAAGTATTTTGGGTGGGGAGGTCGGTGAAGCAAAATGTAGACGGGAAGGCCAGGCCTAGTCACAGGGTGTTGCCCTTGCTCAGGGACCCGTGGCTGTTCCTGGAGCGTTGGCAGGAAGAGTGACCCAAAGCAGCACTGCTGAAATACCGCTCAATGACTCCATACTCCTAACGTCAGACACAGCATGCTAACTAGGTAATCATCTTGTGGAACGGGCTGCGTGGGTCACGGGCCCACAGGCTAAGCAAGTGGGACACTTTCAACAACAGCAAACATCACTCTGGGCTCGCTAGCAGGACTGTTGAAGCAAAATGCAGGACAATGTAGCACTTTAAAGACCAACAAGATGGTTTATTAGATGATGAGCTTTCGTGGGCCAGACCCACTTCCTCAGATCAAATAGTGGAAGAAAGTAGTCACAACCATATAGACCAAAGGATACAATTTAAAAAAATGAACAAATATGAAAAGGACAAATCACATTGCAGAACAGGAGGGGGATGCGGGGGGGGGGGAGGAAGGACGGTGTCTGTGAATTGATATTAGAGGTAGGGAGAGTGGGATGTTTGAGTTAATGGTATTACAGGTGATAATTGGGGAAACTGTCTTGGTAATGGGTGAGATAGTTCAAGTGTTTGTTAAGTCCTTGTTGGAAAGTGTCGAATGCAGGACTGTTGTGAGCAAGACAAGCAGACATTCCAGCACTCCATGCTGCTTAAGCCTCAACTGGAGAATTGGGTCCAGTCCTGGGCATCATATTTCAGGTAAGATTTAGACACATGAGGAAGGGGGGAGGTCAAAGACAAGCAAAAAAAATGATGAAAGGGCTAGAAAACAACCCATGAGGAAAGAAAGATTTTGGGTTGCAAAGAAGACAACAGAGGGGACATAAGAGCTGTCAAGTCTCTACAAGGAGGAGGAGGGGGAACCATTCTCCTTAACTGCTGAGGACAGGACAAGAAGCAATGGGCTTAAACTGCAGCAAGGGAGGTTTAGGTTGGACATTAGGAAAAACTTCCTGTTGGGGTAACTAAACACTGGAATAAATTGCCCAGGGAGGTTGTGGAATCTCCATCCCTGGAGATACTGAAGAGCAGGTTGGACAGACCCCTGGCAGGGATGGGCTAGATTAGGGTTGAGCAGCTACTGGTGGCAGTTCACCAAGGTTACTCGCTGGTGGGCCCCCACACCATCATATTTACCTGCGCCTCCACACGTGTGGGGGAATCACAGCTCCTGTTGGCCATGGATCGCTGTTCCAGCCCATGGGAACTGTGATGCCCCGTACCAGGAAGTCAGATCAATATAGTGGCAGCGAGCCACCAGGACTCACCTCGGCTTTATTGCCCATGCCTGGTCTAGAGTGATCCTGCCAGGAGTGCAGGGGGCTGGACGTGACCTTTCTAAGTCCCGTCAAGTTCTAGGCTATTCCGTAAATCTCCTTCCCAGCCGTACCTTACTGGAGTCATCTTGCATAAAGCAGAGCTCAAGTTACGTCCTATCCATAGCATAAGAATATTTTCAGAAGTGTTACCATTCCACAAGGTGACTGCGCAGTGTGTGAAAAATACTTCCTGTTTGTTTTAAACCTGCTGTCTATGACTCTAATTGGGTGAGCCCTAGTGTAAGGTGGCTTCCCCCTGGCAGTTTTGGGGTTCACCTCTTTTCCACCTAAAAGGAAGTCAACCGCTGTAGCAATTCCCCTTTATAGTCCCCCCATGAGGGTGCGTTTACTCGCCAGCGTCCCAACTCTGTTTTCCACACTCGGGGTTGGGGGTGTGAGGGGGACCTGGGCCCGCCCCCAACCCAGAGCCCTAAGAACAGAGCGCTCACGCGCCAGCCCGCAGCAGTAATCCTTCTGCCCACCCTGGGTTGCTTCCGCACTACTGCCCGGGGGCCCTCACCTCTCAGCCTGCTGGCAGTGAGTTTCTCCCGGTAGGCTTGGGGTTTGTGATCCCTGACCCACTCAGGCACAGCAGTCCCCTCTCCCCTGGATGGCCGCCCCAGTTCTGCCCTGCCTCCATCGTATTTAACGTTTTCATTAACGAGTGGCTGAAGAAGCAGGAGTGTGCGACTGAAATTCACTGATGGCAGGTGTGATGGGCCAGGTCTGGACACAGCTCAGGGCGAATTGCTCTAAACCAGGGCTGCTTACAGCCCCAGACTGGAGACCTTCCCAAATAGGCCACAAACCAGTCACACCGAGCAATCCTCACGAGCAAAACCCCTCGGACACTCCAGCTCCCCCTGTGCCACAGTCAGCCCCGGGCCTGCACACAGGTGAGGGGTTCTAGAACCCGATCTCACCCACCCCGGATGGGTTCTCCTGGTCCCAAGAAACCAGCCACAGACCCCCAGTCAATTTACACTTTAGATCTTACCCACAAGATCCTGCTGGGCCCGTCCTTTAGAATCTGAAATCTAAAGGTTTATTATTAAAAGAAAGAAAAGCGTGAGAGTGAGGTTGTTAAGGAGAATACATTACGTGCGCCCACCACCAAGTTCTTGCTGCGGGCTCTCAGCAGAGATGTTACAAACTGCTAGGTTAAAAGCCTCTGGTGTATCCTATGTCAGGATGGGTCTGCAATCCTTCCCGGCTCTGTCCTTCGCAAGGCTGCATCTGGGATCAGTGGCAGAACTGAAGATAAGATGGAGATCGCCTCATGGCGATTCCTGGTACTTTCCAAGCTGGAGTGGGTCACATGGTCAGGTGACCTATCCCTGTGTCCCATGTCAGCAGTCATGGTATTGGCTGCTTTGCAGGTTCCAGACGCATTCCTCAGGTGTGTATTGGCCACTTTGAGAGCCATTGTTCCTGGAGCCTCGCCAATTAGCATAGTCATCGACTGAACAATAGCTCATTACAACAGGCAGTCCAGGCCCATGGCTCTGTCTCAGACAGAGAACATTCACATACCAGCCCAGAGTCCATATTCGTAACTCCACATACAGACATCACACAGGTACATGAGTAGCAGACACAGAATCCGTAGGACACAAGCTTTCGTCTGACACCTCCCATGGCCCCTTTGTACAGACTTGGGGGCAAACACCCCCCCCCCCCCCGTGGGCGCAGCAGTGATCTGGCTGCTCCCCTTCAAATCCAGTAACCTGACAGCAGGAAGCTGGGAGGCAGGGGCGGTGCGGCCGATTAGACGGGCCTGTTGAGCGAACCAGCTGACCTTGAGGCGGGGAGCAGTAGAACCGAGATGAGCGAGCACAAGGCGCTGCACGTGGGGGTTACTACAAGCATTGCTGCCTCCGGCTGGGGCCGTAGCTGACCACCGGCTGATTAGCCACCGTCGCGATGCAGCCCCGGCAAAGGCAAAGGGGATGGCTTGGCCAAGGCACTTCCAGTTGCAGCCGGGACGTGCTCATGCCATTAGGCAAGGTGCTGTGACCTCGTCTGGCATTGTCTGCTCAGCCCCAGGGGCTCACGTTCCAGGGAGGTGGACTGCAGCTGGAAGAGGTGCACACCGGAGGGCTCATGGGTGATCGGGGAGGGAAAGTCTTTCACAAGAGGACACGGAGAGAGTTGTCCATCCTAACAAAACAAAGGCTGAGAGAGGATACTGCTAAGCTCTAGCAGTGATTTTTCCCTCACATACCAGCACAGCCCGACGCCCTCCAAAACCTTCCCCAGCTCTGGCTGAAACCTCGTCAGGGGCTTCTCCTCCAGCTACTACGAGAGGCCGTTCAGCACCTCACTCCTTCAAAGGTTAGGAGCCTTTTGGCAGCATCCAGCCTACATTCACTCATGACCAGTTCATCCTCCTCCGCTCTCCTGCCAACCCCGTCCTTCGCGCAAACAGATCTCCCCTCCACGGGGTTTACCCCGATGTATTATAAAGAGCAATCAGAACCCCATAGGGGAAGGCCAGCACAGGCCCCGCCCCCTCTGTCTGAAGCCACGCCCCTTCCCCGAGACCACCCCCCTTCGACAATCTCCCTCTCCCCAGCCAAGCCCTACCCAACCCCAGCCCTCAAGCCTGAGCCTTCCTGGCCATCTGGAGAGCTGGGCAGTTTTGCGAGGGCAAAGCCTTCCCTTGCCTTTATCACCCACCACCCATGCCTATCCCCGCACCAGTGTTCCCTGAAAGCTGACCACTTGGGCGGCCGCCCAGGAGAGAGTCAAATGCTGCCCAGCTGATTAGCAGAGCACCCACAGCCAGCAGCCTGTTTCTAGTGGTGGTGCACATCCGCTCCTGCCTCAGTGCACATACAATTTATTCTGCACACAGAGGTACAAAAAATTGGAGGGAACACTGCCCCTCACTGCCTTCCGTCTAACCAGTGGTGTGCAGCCTGTGATCTAAGATTCCCAAAGGGGTCTGCAAATGAAAGAAAGGTTGAAAGCTACGGGTCTGAACAAGCTGTTTCAGCTGTCTCTGGTAAAGTCCGTTCTGAGCCGATTACTTGGGTAGCTCGTCCCACTCCCTCAAGCTCTGTAAACCCCAGGCAACGCCTCTAGATCCGAACTCTGTTTGTACAAGCCACACCCAGAGCAGATGTTGGAAACCTTTGGTCCCAGTGACTCAGCACACCCTGGGGCAGCCGGCGCTGAAGTGCCAAGTCCACTCCTGGCCCTTTGAAGGCACCCAGGGCAACGCCTGTGAGTTTGGCACGTTGCTTAAATCTCCAGCCCCTGGAATCCCGTGACCAGGGGCCAATCTCAGGCTTCGTTTTTTCAAAAGTGGCCTGTGTCTAGCCCTGGCCGCTGTAGAGACGTCACTAGGAAACCCCAGCCCAGAGCGACGGCCAGGCCGAACCCAGGAAAACAAACCGAAATCGCGTTTTCTTTTAGCCACATTCCTCACTTTGGGGCCCTGACGCCGGAACCGACAGGGAGGGTCCTATGGCTACAGCCAAGTCGCTCCCCGGTGCCATGGCCTGGCACTCAGGACCACCTGTGGCACTGGGGGAGGAGGGGAGATAGAGGGCAGAGGTGCTCCCAGCCCTCCGAAAACCTGCCCCCCCCCCAATC